ATTAGAATTTGAACTCATCCTATGTCACTGTTTTATATCCTGTCAATGTCTACATTTAAGTTTCTCACCTACTATGAAACTCATTTTGTACCTTAATACCTCCTATATTATTTTCTGATTAAAATGTGTGTGTATGTGTTACAATTTTCCTACTCTCAGAGTCTGTGATATAATAGAATTTATTTCAGTGAAATTATTTACCAGTGGAAGAAAGTGGAAGGAAAACAACATGTATATAACACAGTCCTTGCCCAGGCAAGGACTTTCTGCTTGGGAAAGACCTCAGCATGGAAGTTGACCTAGAAAAAGAAACAGGATGTACCTGCTTAAGTCTCATTAGGTGCATTCATACATTGGATACTTTGGGACAAGTTAAAATTGTCCATAAGAAAAAGATTTTGTTTGGGGTGGGGGCGTGAAGAGAGAAAAACCCTGAAGATAGAATATAGGCTGTTGTTACTGTAGTAGTTTCATTTTTATATATTTCAAGTATCAAGATGATATTTTTGATTTGGCCATCTGGAGGCAGTTAACATCATTTTTTATATGTCAAAATATTTGCATGTCTTTAATTTTATTTTAAACCATTTTAAAATACAGCTATGTAAATTAAATTGTTAGTATACTTTCATATCTTGGTACACTTATATTAGGGTTACACGCTTTTTCATACATTGATATTTAATAATTTTTGTTCTTAATTTCTTGCATTCCTATCTATAGCATGCTGGGTTTTTTTTCTTTCTTTGTTTTGGTAAAGTAAACTGGCATAAACTTAGTAGGAAAGACTAGTCCTGAAGTACCCATTTAAAAATAACTTGTTTGGGAATATTATCACAATAAATAGTATATTTCTTTGTTATACAAACTTTTCACAACCATTATAGGTTGCAAAGATCTTGAGAGAGTGTATGTGCATACATTCCTCAGTGGAAGCAGAATAGATAGGAAAGAGCATGCATTTGAAATTAGGCACAACTTTATTAATTTGCATGACTTTGGGTAAAATACTTCATTTTGAGTCTGTTTTTTCCTCTAAATACGAGAATGTAGCAAGGTTACTGTGACTATTAAATGACAAAGTACAGTACCCTAGTACATCATAAATGTTCAAAATAACTATTATGTTTATTAATTAAATTGCTAGTTGATAGAAGAAGAAAAGAAAGATTGAAGGGAAACTGGTATTGTCTTTATCATTCTTCTGTTGGGAAATAGCCCCATCATTGAGTAAATAGAGGAATGTGGGGATAAAGCCAACTAAAAATGGACAGTTTTAATACTTATTGTAGCTTCAGGAATATTAATTTTATAGGGGGGGTGAGATTTTTTTGCTTTCTTTGTGTTACCCTTGCCTTTAACATATATAATTTAGTACCAAGGACTTTAAACAATAGTTTTATGTTTTTAACTGATTTTAAGACTTTATTCCATTTCCAGATAGGAAAGTAGAATTATTTAATTTCTTTGGTAACGATTCAAATGATCCATTGGATATTAGAGTTAGGATTTCTAATTTATGACATTTTAAGTCTTTTCCTTTAAAAATATGACTTGATTAAATTCCACAATTTAAAAAGTGTTATTAAATCTAAATTTCTTTTGCTTAAACTTCTTTGCATCTTTGAAAATAACATACATCTGGTAGATTTTAAATGGAATTGGTAAAAAAAAAAATAAGAATAAAACCTTCAGTTTTTATAGTATCGTAAAATTTCTTCTTCGTTTCCAATTCTCTTATATAGGTTCACTGCACACATTCTTAATGCAGCTGTCATTATAGGGTTAAACATTTGCTATATTGTAACATATGAAAATAGTTAAGCTGTTTGAAATTGTTTACTTGCTTAAACCAGTGTTAGTCAGCAGAGGCAGTACACCAGATTTCTTTGTGGCTTTTAGTGGAAAATGTTAAAAGCGCACTCATTTTTCAGTTATAGAATTTTTCAGTTTGATCTAGATTAGTCACAGAACTGGCATGAGCCTTCTAATTGTGAAAGCAGTCCAAATGCACTATTTTTTTCTGCTGCTAGAGGAAGTTACATCTCGAGCAGTAGCTCAGATCTCTGGTAAGTGTAACATGTGAGCATTACTAGGCATTTCATCCTGCGGTTCTGCAGTCTTTGCTATTCCGACTGTTGCTCAGTTCAAATGCTTCTGTGGGACCAATCCTGAGGTTCTGTAGATATTTTTTAAGGACCTTCTCATTTGGAGGTGTTAGTGTCGTTTTGCAAGATCATCTGAGTACCAGGAAGGCATCTGAAATCTACTGAAAAGGATAACTGTAACGGTTTTCGCAGTGGAAGGAAACTGTGTTGGCACAGAGGCAGATGATTGAATAAAGTAGTTGGCTCAAAGAAGATGCACAGTCTGCTGTTTTTTCCTCTGAATGAAGACTATTTAATGGAAGCTGTATTCATGTGGAGATCAAAGGAAACACTGGAATGATAAACTACTGGAGTTCTTTCTCTCCCTCTCTCTCTCTCATTTTTAAAATTGAAAAGCTTGAAGCAGTAATTTGAGCTCAAATGCCTTCTAATTCCTTCGTGGCCAGCCTGCCTGTTCTGTTAGGATTCCCGCTAACACCATTTCTGCCTGGTGCCTGTGCCCTTTGGCTGGAGCAGCTACAGACAACTGCCTGATGAAGAAAGAATGAACGCTCTGCCTTGCTTATGCTATTGATGGAATAAAGCTATCTGTGTTTCTTCTATTATATGGACAATCTGGATTAATCAAGCTGTATTCTAGTACCAAGAGTCCTATTGTCTCTTGTGGTCTGACTCATCGAATGTAAATGTACTGCAGCTTTGCTATTAATGCAGAGGTTTTTTTTTTTTTTTCTTCTTTCCCAAACACAGAAAGAATTGTCAACCTCTGAGCTGCATTTTAAAAATTTGTGCTGAGCTCTAGATATATTTTTTTCTGGGTAGTATCTGCATTAAGCCAGTGAAACCGAAGAAATGAAGACAAATTAGAAGTGGAAACAGAATAGTGAGATTTTAATTTTAATTTCCAATTGTAAGCCGGCCAGCTACTGGTAACTATATGACCTTGCAGGCAAGAGTGGGTATAGCTGTGATTATCTCTGTCACAGCAGTTGTTTCTCATTTCATTCTGCATTGCGTGGTGGTATCACCCAAAACAATGATCTTTTTATGCAAGTAAAATTTCTCCGAGACAGAGAGCAATATGACTATTTTGGTAGAGGAAAAATATTTTTAAATGAACTTGTACTGGGCTCATTTTTAGATAGTTGACATGTTGATGTGAAATTTCTTTTAAGTATTGCAATAACCCAACAGAAAATAACAGAATTTTGTTGATTTTTAGGAAGTTGTAAGTTATATAGTCATAATTTAAACTTCAGTTTTTCTGGTAGTACTTATTAACTTTAAAAAACCAACTGCGCTATTCAGAGAATGATTCTAAGTGTCATACAGAAGAGGAGGAAAAACTACTTGTTCTCTTCCAACTGTGACTTTTATCACAAAGCTTGGAATTTAGTATTTTAAAAGAGCGAATGAGTCGAGTGTGTATTGTTGTTTTGGAGGAGGTAGAAGATGAATCTCCTGCATTCATTTCTAACTTGCCACAGGAAAATAAATCCCTACATGCTCCACCTTCTGGAAATGTATTGGTAAGATATGAGAGTTTATATGTTTACTGTATTCTACTGAACTAGTAGAGTAAATTTTATTTCTTAAGAATAAACATGTTAGTTTCCACTAGTTTCATTAAAAACCCAAATAAAAGTAATGTAGATTTGTAAATAATGATATAATATTGTATATTAAATGCACACATTTCTGATTTTTACTTTTTCAGATGTTTAGATAACATTTCAGACTTTATTTGCTATGTCTTAATCTCTTTTTAAAAAAATTAATTGAGAATAGTAGTTACGGCAACCAGTTTCTGTTTTCATTTTGTGGTTTTAAAAACTGATGTAACAAGAAAGAAGAGCTCTGTGTTTTAGGAAAGATTGACTGCTTCCAGCAACACCGAGGCACAGCCTTTTCTATAATGAATTTTATGTATTTACATGCAAGATTTTTAAAGGAAAAGAATCAGACTTGACCGTTAATGTAATTTTAATGCTGTTGTCAGTTGGCTTCTTGTTTGACTGGTAAAATATGATACCTTATCAGAGAGGCTGTGTCGTTGATTAAGAAATTGTTATATTTAGACATGCACGTGTTTGCCTCCTCTTGTTATTCAGGTATACAGTTTTTTTTTTGTCTCTGAATAATAGTGATTTTCATCAATTGCCAGCTTTTATTTTTTTAGATTTATATCTTTATGCATGTACTGACCATGCAAGTTCTTTGATGCCACACACAGAACTTTTCCAGGAGGCCTTTCCTGGGCCTCTGTTGACTGGGAACTGCTAGTTTGACAAGTTGTGTCCCGCCCACAAGTAGAGGTTAAGATTTCACTCTTGTATTTGGCAGAAACTTTTTTTTTACCATATATATAAACAAAAACCTTGCACTTAACTATTGTACCAATTAATCTGGCTAATTTCGAATTGATTTTCTTAAATTAGCCCCCCCCCCCCCCGGAGGAATCCTGTATTTTCATGTGATTTAACTTCATGAAACTTTTGTTTAATGTCAAAAACCAAGTGATTATTGTTGCTATAGGGAAGGAAAATTTTAGATTTAAAAGTTATGTGGAGCCCTGACCCAGTGGCTCAGTTGGTGGGAGTGTCGTCCCCTACACCAAAAGTTTGTGGGTTCAATTCCCAGCCAGGACACATACTTAGGGTTTGGGTTCAGGCCCCAGTCAGGGTGCATACGGGAGGCAACCGATCGATGTTTCTGTCTCACGTTGATGTTTCTTTCTCTCTCACCCACCTCCCCCTTCCTCTCTCTAAAAATATCAATAAAAACATATCCTCGTGTGAGGATTAAAAAAATAATTAAAAAAGTTATGTGGAACTATCTTTAGAATCATCCATGTGCTGTGATTAATGTTTGTATTACTCTCTTATATTTTAGCCATCACTGGTGCAAGCTATATTTAATGGAGATCCTGATGAAGTTCGAGCACTAATATTTAAGAAAGAAGATGTTAACTTTCAGGTAAAACACTTAATTCACTGATACCTGCCTTTAAGCCTACTTTTAAAAACTCTTTCCTAGAGTTATGGTTTTTGGTAAAAAGACAGCACAGTTCTGTAACAGTTGTTTTAAATGAGTTTAGAAGCATCTCGAGGCAAAAAAGGAAGGGACTGGACTTATATTCAGGGTAATGACTAAAATACAAGAGAATTAGGAGCCAGTGAGGGGCCTTTATTCCCCCAGCTTTTAACTTTGAAATTTTTCACAGAAAAGTTGAAAAAATACTCTGAATACATTTTGCCACATTTGTTCTCTCTCTCACCGTATTTACAGATTATATATAATTTATACACACACACATTATATATATATGTATGTATTTTTTTTTTTTCCTGCTGAAATCCCATTTGAAACAAGCAAGTTGCAGGCATCTTGACACTTCACTGTTTACTACTTGTGCACATTTCAGATGAGGATTCTTTTGTGTGAACTTGAAATAAAAGACATTTGTATTAAGTTTATAATATATGTAACTTGATTATAAAATCAAGTTTTCTTTCTGTAAATAATCCTGGTAAGCATTTTGCACAAAGACTCGTCTGTTTGTGTCTCTAAGTAAAGAAAGATACACTGTTTGAAAAGTCTCCAAATTTAAAGATATAGTGGATTTTACATTCAGGACTAGCATGAGGGAGAGTTTTAGAAAGAGTGGGTATATGGATAATTTCCTTTCTGTGTATGTTTTCCAGTGGCCAGTAGTTTCTTTAATTTATTAAACTGAGGCTGAAAATAGATAATTTGCTATTATATCAAATTCATTAGTCCTCTGAGTTATTGGGGGGGGGGGGGGTCATGATTCATAAAGTCACTATAGCAACACTAAAACAGATGGCCTGTAAAGGATGGGTAATTCTAAGAAAACCCTACCCTGAACGTATATCTTGAACTCTCATCATTCTTCCATACAACATGACTGTGACCACTTATTGTTAAGTAGATATAAAAAGTATTTATCTGATATTTTAAAGGTGGATTATTTGAATAGATTTGAATCTTTAGCCAAAATGGTTTATCTAATACTGGGTATTGATCAAAATGCTATCATTACTTTTTTTTTTCTTTTCCCAGTAGGAATAGTTAGAAAATAATTCCTAAAAGATTATTCCTATTCCATAAAAGAAAATTGTGGGATTTTTTTTTTAACTTTTTAAAATTGTTGAAGCATTACAGATGTCTCCCTCTTCCCCCCCACCTTTACCCACCTCCTCCCAATCCCCAGCCTCCCCTTTCCCTTTGGCCATCACCACACTGTTGTCTATGTCTATGGGTTATGCATATATGTTCTTTGGCTAATTCTTTCACCTTTCATCCAACATTTTTTCTTGAAACCTTCTTAAGTGAATATTTTAGGTTTATATTTATTGGAAACATGCACCGAATTCAGGATTGATTTTATTTTATTTATTTTATTTTTTTCAGTTTAAATAAAGTGCCTTGTCATTTTACCTAGTTGAGATATCTTGGAGAGTCTACTTTTCTTAGGATAGAAAACAATGACTTATGAAAAGGAGGAAAACAGCTTTGTGTTCTGTTTAACTCTAGTTTTTTGTTTGTGTGGTTGTTTTTTAGTACTGGAAAATCTTATTTTAGTAAGAAAGTTTGGACCATAATCCTAGTTACTGTGATGGTCCATCATTGCAAGTCTTATTATAGCCAACACTGCTTTTCTACTGTATTAATTAAATTATCCTAAATTTTATTCAGAATCATTTTAGGCATTAGTTTATTCTGCTGTGATGTCCTTGGAAGCTATTGTGTATGTATAGCTAGTGTGTTACCCCTCTACCCCCTAAGTTCTATAATTTTTAGCCCATACTTACAGATTTCTTTTTTGACTTACTTTTTAATCATCATTTCATAATATCTCCTGGCTTGTTCCCTTGCTCTGAAGCTTGGGTTAGACCTAAAAGTTAGGTTAGTACTGTATTTCAAATCAGTAGGACCTTCTTGTGGGTGACTCTTCGCTTGCCTTCAGTAATTCATGGATTTTTGACAAAATTTTTTGTGGTTGCTTTTAGGCCTTTTTTCTCATGTCTTGTCAGTTGAGATTATTGTCATAACTATAAGATTTGTGAAATCTTTGGCCATTCTTCTACTTCATGATGGTACTTTTTTTTTTTCTATTTTTGTCCTCTATGATAAGAAATCACATTGAGTTTTTTTTTTTTTTTAATTAAAAAAATTTTTTTTAATACCCAAGGACATTTTTCTATTTTTTGTTCAGATAGAGTGGGAGGGAGAGAGAGGAAGACAGAGAGAGAGAAACATCAATGTGAAAGGGACACATGGAGTGTCCTGTATGGCCCTGACCCAACCAGGGCTGGGGACAAAGTGCAACTCAGGTACGTGCCCTTAGCAGGAACCGAACTCCTGGGTCTCCCTGGACTGCAGGCCAGTGCTCTAACTGCTGAGCCAAACCGGCCAGGGCCACGTTGAGTTTTAAGAGATGTGTGTGTAATAAACTTATACTGTTGCCATATAATATCCACTGATTCTTGATAGGCAATAAAATATTTTTAAGGTTTATGTCAGTGTGACAGTGGTATTTTTCTAAAATAAATTTAAATATGTATTTGAGAATAACATCTGACTTTTGGAAACTTAGGTTTTAAATTTTTAGAATGAGTTTAGAGTTCAGATTTGTTTTTATTCTATTAAATAAACATTGCTATTATTTTAGATTAGTTTCTTCCGTCATATCCTGAAGTTATCAAATACTGTGAACCACTAAATACTATTTTCTTGGTAACATAACAAAATGACTTTTAACAAAACTCTAATTTTAAATATTATGCCTTCGTAATATTTGGTCTGAGAAGTACGTCTATTTTGGAAGCTAGGTAAGAGATTTCACTAGAAAATACTAGAGTTTTATATTTGTGGTTTCGGGCCACAAATAATTAACTACCTGGCTACGTACAGATTTATTGATCTTATAAATCTGTTATCCAGAGCAAGGTGGTTTGGGGGTTGGTAAAGATAGTAATGTCAGAGCTCTGGGTGAGCTTCTCTGTGAGATTCTTGGCTTTCTCCTCATGTTAAAGAGATGACTGTTAACATTTTGTACTCATGATAAACAACCAAAAAATAGTGAAAAGGGGACTCTCCCTTTACATTTTCTCTTTTCTTTCTTTAATCAAGCAAAAACATCTTTATCAGAATCCCCACAACACTTCCCCTGAAGTTCCACTAATTATAAGCCCACTCTGAACCATTCCACCAACAAAGGTAGAGTGGGGTTAGCTTTTTACTTAGTTGAGTCATTGTTCATAGCCTGGTTTAATCTGCTGGGGTGAAAATAGGGTCTTATTATCAGTGATTATATTCCATATCTGGAGAAAAACAGCATTTTCATAGGAAGGAATAAAGAGAAATAGTTGTTTGGATAGGCAAACTAATAGAAGATTTTTGATACCTGTGAACAGCAGAATAGCAAACTTTTGGAAAAATAAAGGTCACTTGGATGTGGGAAAAGCACTGTAAATCAAAAAAGGTGAAACAGTCCAAAAAATTTTAAAGGAGGAGTGGTGTATATATAGTGAAAAGAACAATTGAAATATAACTTGAAAGACCTAAGTATTTCTATCTTTCTAGCCTTATTAGTTATACTACTTGAGCAAGACCATTTAACTTCTTCAAGACTCACTTTTCTTTTGTTATAAAATGTGTGGGGTTACATTAATGGCCTTCAGGGTGTTTTCCCACGCCAAATTTAGGATGCCCTAAAAAGTCCAAGTGACCTTGAATGACCTCCTGCCTTTGCCCAGGTTTTATTTGTATTTCTAGGTTATGTGCCTAAAGTAATAGTAATTAAATGCCTTTCCCTAGGATTTATTAGAATTTAATGCCATATTGGAGAGTCCAAATAATTTAAACTGAGATATTAATAACACATTTCAGAGTAAAAGTCTGACTTTATAAGAAAATTATTTTCTACAAGTTGGAAAATTTTTTTGTCTATCCAGAGTGATATAAATTGGTGTTAATTACAGAATTTTATTTCAATGATAGGGAGATGCCTAAACCTCTTTATGTTACTTGATTTAACTCACAAAAGAATCTCACAAAATTGGTAGGTTAACATTTTCATTCCACCAATAGATGACAAAACTGAAACTTAGGAAAGTTTCCGTCTCCAGGATTAGTAAGGACAGCAGAACAGGAATGTGAACCTATGTCATGCTTGACTGTAACTGGGGAAATGAAAAAGTAAATTGGAGAGAGAGAAATATTGTTTTCTTTTGCCAGATAGTGCCATAAAACAATAATAGTTCAAAAATGGATTTTTTGTCTCCTAAAGTTATGTTTATGTTCTATGGACTTCTACCTTTTAAACTGTAATACAAATGTCATTCTAATTTTCATGATGCCAAGTTGTACATTGCAAATGAGTGAATACACAAGCCTCCCTTAGTGCCATACTTTTTGGCTGGCTAAAAATGCCATTTGAAGTATTATCAAACTTTAGGGTTAACTATAATCCAGTCTACACTGTTTTCGTGTTCAAAACAGAGAAGTGACCCTTTTTCTTTTTAAATTATTTTAATAAGTTTTTATTGATTTGTTAGAGAGAGATAGAAACATCCATATGAGAAACATTGATTGGCCACCTCCTGCATGCCCCCTCCTGGGGGTGAGCCCACAAGCTGGGCTTGTGCCCTGACTGGGAATCGAATGGGGACCTCTCAGTCCATGGGACAATGCTCACTCCACGGAGCCACACTGGCTGGGCACGAGTGACCCTTTTTAGACTCAAAGAGAATTGATTTAAGAGCTAGGTTGGTAGATCTTGCCTGTGTTATATAACTTTTTTTTTTAATGCTACCTTGTACATTTTACTTATTGGCTTCTGAAGTTAAATATATTTTGTCTTTCAAAATATTTTGGGATTGCTTTTGCCAAAGTAGTCTTCCAAATTATTAACATCTTAAGCTTTCAAAAATACTTCCCAGGATTATTGA